GAAGGACAATATGTATCTTAAATTCAGGAACGTTTGAATTACTCTGGAAAATCCTGAAGTAACTAGAATAGACATGATTGTTAAATGAACTAGGTAACCTCAATGACTGAGGATTTAGTAAGTGATTTGGATAAGTCTGGAAACTCTGATGAGTTTACATAGTGTACAATTACAATGGGTTATGAACAAAATAATCAAATATGTTAGCATTACTTATTGTGGAAGAGTGGAAATGAAATAAAGACATTGGAAGATCTATTCTGCGATGATTTTAAAAATTGATATATGGACAAGAATTTGTGGTATTAAAGAGTAAATACCCTGGAAGAACAATGAATTTACCAATCGACAAGCATTAGTTCTGGGAACTATTCATCTAACAGTTGTTCGATAATCCGATCAATCGACATAGAATGTAAATATTCTGAACCTTCATTTCTTCCTTATCAGCTCAAGTCACATTCTGAATAACTAATGATTATGTCAGTTATTGAACTCTTCCAATAGTGATTCTGAATTCCGATATTCTATCGGTATACTGAAGATCTGTGTTCCTCTACTTGTTAAGATTATCCAATATCTTTGAATACTACCTGTAAATTCTGGTGTGTTCCCTACTCACATGAATATTTTACCTGATTTTCGATTTGATTTCTGATCTGATACTTGACATGGATTATGATCTGATACTTGACTTGGATTCTGATCTGATACTTGACCTGGATTTTGATATGATACTTGACGTGAATTATGATTTGATTTTTGATATATCCGTTTACGGACGGAACATGGGGGGTAATGTTGGAGGAAGAATACCTGGAGGCTCCTCGGCTGTGTGCTCAGGGCCTTACTAGACTTGACAGTGGGTGTATGGTTCTGGGGAACCTACACATTTTGGACTTGACGGATGGGGTATATATATATATATATATATATGTTTTAAAAAGATCTAAAAAGTTACATGGTTTTTGGGAACACACTAGAAAACCTATTCTTATCTCCTGAACCTAAACATCCCAAATATTTTCCATCAGAACTGAATACTATCTGTTAATACTTGAAATATCAATGGAATCTCAGCTCAGCCAAAGAAATCTGTAAATATCTGAACCAATAAGAAAAAATATGTTTATCTATATCTGCACGTTCTTCAGCATCATCTGGTAGTTCTGTATTACTGTGTTTTTCGAAGCTCACTCTATTACTCACCATTGCAGGTTAAAAGAATTGTACCAGTGCAGCTATCGGCTTCAGTAAAGGAGTTCTTCCGACGTTGCTTGCAGAGTATGGTACATGAAATTAGGGGGCATGTAATTGTGTTTTGTTTTATATATGAGCCTGAAAATTTGTTTTATTTCTGCATATTGATAAATCATTTTATAAGTTACATGTTTTAAGAAAAGTTTTAAATTTTCTGCTATTTTTACAATGGGTCGCTCCAGTGGCCCTAATGTGACACTTCAGATCGGATCGGGTATCCGCATCGGTCTCAGGGGTTACAATGAATGCATACATGTCATATGCCACAAGGATTTGGCCACCGTCCAGGTAATGGTAGAATCCCCTGTTTCTTTTACCACTTATTATTTCTAGCATTAGGATACCAAAGCTGTAAACATCAGCCTTGTTTGAAAACAACCCTTTTAGTTCATATTCTGGTGCCGTGTATCCGCTGCATAGGAAACAACTTTTGGTTCGGATTCGGTTGAGGAACCAGAATGGAGTACTTACAATGTGCCGATAATTCAATCTGTGTTGGCTTCGATTTTGATTGCCTCCAAATTTTCTTTTGGTGTCCAAGTCTGATATCTTAGGGTTCATATCATCATCTAACAAAACATTGGTGGCCTTCAAGTCCCTATGGATCATTTTAAGCCGAGAATCCTCGTGTAGATATTGCAGCCCCCTTGCAGTTCCGGTAATGATGTTGGAGCGTTTTTCCTAGTCTAGCATTGCCTTTCAATGTTCTGGACCTGCACCAAGTCAGACGCATAATCGAACATGAACATAGGAAAGCAAGAACACCGACTCAGATGTGCGAGGGACAAGAGCAAACCGAAAAGGAAGTCGAAGCTGGTGGTAGCCATGAACTCGTAGACGAGAAGCTTTCTTCTCCTTCCAAGCAATATCCCATTAGTCTCACCAGATTTTTATATATGTTGAAGCTTTACAATTAGCTTTACTTCATCCTTCGACTCTTCAAGGCCTTGACTTGATCTCATTGAAAGCCTTTCAACTGCTATTTCCTTCCTATTGGGCATTCCCCCCTAAACAGTTTTCAAAGTGCTTTCAACCTTAATCCTATCGTAAACAATAGATCAGAGAACTGCTTTGGGCCTTGTAAACGAAACCGAAACCTCCTTCTCCGAGCTTTTTTTCCTCGGACAACTTTTTTAGCAGCGTTATGGTAGTTAAATTAACTGATGCATCTCGTCGGCTTGATCATCTGATAGATAAATACCCATCTCCATCAAATAGCAAGCTTTGAGCCATGTGAACTTCCCAGTTCCCAATAACACCATAATGTTCAAATTTTGTAGGAAATCAATATTAAACATCAATTCAAAAATTGATGTACGAATATCTCAACATACATTGTTCATACCAAATGATCGCTCTTTTATCGGAAGGGCACCTTTGCGTGAGCAGTCGAATAGCATTGTCCACACAGATGTAGCAAATATTGCACGAAGAAAGATCGTCTCGGAGTTTTTCAATGATTTTGAACTAAAGAAAAAAGAAAGAAGATGAAGATTATTAATTTGGTGACTTTTACTATAGAAATTACTAAACGACTTTAAAAATGACGAAGAAAGAAAATATTAGTGTAATAGAAATTAAAAACTAATATAGATTTAGAATTTATAAAAAGGAATCATGAAATTTATTTTCAAATCAATTTAATATATAAATTTTGTTTATATAAAATATTGTTTCGAGGGTCCAGAAATAATTTTCTAATAAAAAATTATTGAAATAAGTATTTTAAGTGTTTTCACACCTGCTCATATAAGACATAATTTAAATTTCATTGTATATTCTGAACACTCGAGACATTTTAATAAGAGATAAGACACCCCCTAAAACAATCCCAAAATCTTGAGGTCCACGCAAAAAAATTCCCCAACAAGAACCATTAACTTTTAATAGTGCCCAACTTGTATTAAAGTATGATTAATTTAGCTAAACCGTTGTGATTTTAACTTGAAAAGCACACGCTCATGTTGTGTAATTATTATTACTATGTGATAGTGGAGAATACATGAGCCAGCAGCAGCAACGTATCCATTCTCCAACCGCCAGACATTACTTCCACGACATGTGCTGCCCCATTCATCATTATTATTTATTATAACTCAAAAAGAGATATTTAGTTAAAAAAACATACTTTACTGATTATGTATATGTAAAAGGGATATTTACAATGACTATGACTAATAATGTCATGCATAGGACGATGATGCTATTTATAAGCCGATATGTTAACAAATCTGGTACTTAGATCTTTGGACTTTGTACCAGTAGATTGTCTCACATGTCTTGTTTAAAAGTATTATTTATACATTATGGCTAATTTAAAAGAATATTGAAGAGTACTTATAGTAGGAGGGAGCAATACTATGAAAATTTTAAATTATCATATATTTTATATATTATATATATATATTTAATAAATAATATGTTTTCGTCTTTAAAATTTATAAATTCATTTACTTCTAACATAAAACCATACGTCTGTCTCTGTTGAGAGTCTTTGAAGATATATCTCTGAAGATATAACACCAACAAAATTGAAAAGAAGATTAACACCAAGAACAAGTATAAAATAAAATATAAAAATCAAAATGTCATTGTCGATTTAATATCACTTTAGTTGATATCATTAAAATCATTGAATTAAACTTATGAATCAAGTTAAAGCTTAGCTTTTTATCATTATATGAAAATTATTTTTAAATTAATCTTTATTTTTAAAATAATATTTTATTGACAGGATATATTACATAAAGGAAAATACTCTATATTAATTACATCTTTAAAAGTGTGTTTGACAGAATATACTTTTATTCTACGTGGCATGACTAATTATCAAGAGATGAAAAAATTATAGGTTAAAGAGAAAGATGTTTCGGCCAATAAAAAAATCAGTCGGAATTTGTTGAGTGTTTTTACTGTGTTTTCAGATCTCCAAGTATGTTTTCTTCTAAGTTATAATACTAGTTAATCTTTGTATAAATATATTTTTTTTTATTTTATAGTTATTCTATTTCTATATAGTTACTTAATATTTTATTTAGTTATTATATTTTTCTTAGAGTTGGTTTATTATTTGTTTGGATATTATATTTTCTTAAATTTGAATAGAAATTTAAATCGATTTGATTTGACTCAAATTTCATAAACTCAATGTATTTTAAAACAAAATCAAATAACGTTTTGAACAATAAAATAAAACTCATCAATTTGATTAACTTTAAAAAAAATTACCCACCCAATCAAATATTTACCATTACTGTTATAATTATTATTTTAATATATTTGCCCTATACAGGAGCATCCCAAAAGATATGAAGGCATGTTACTTTAAAATGAGGCCCCTAAAATATTTTATATAAGAAGATATTTTAAAAATCAAAATTTATCCCATTACGATTATTTTTTACAAAATAAAAAATTCAAACATATGAAATTAATATTTCTTCACCGAATTTTCTTCACTTGTGTGTTCAATAAGAAAATATTTTTTTTTCCGGTTAACAGATTCTTTTTAAAAATGTGAGACACTCAAATTTTTAGATCATGTAATGTATCATAAGTTACACTTGCTAATAAGCGACGCTAACCCTCTACCCACCAACTCAATTTAAATTGACATATAAACAAATCTTAGAATTTTCCCTCATTCGTCCTCTTGAATCATTCTCATGGATTCGCTATTGTCGACGTCTACGATTACTTACTTTTCTATCGTATTCTAGGCAATTCGAAGGGCCTCAAGTATGCCTCATAGCTCCACTTCTAGGGTTAAGCAGAAGCCTACCCTCTTAGCAAATCCCCATAACCATTCTCCTGTATGGTTCCTAGCTATGCCTCCACAAGCGGTCTCTCCTGTGGTTGCTATCTTTGTGCCATCAATATTGATCTTACACCAGTGGGTTCGGGTGGTTGCCGGTTGGTAAGACGCTCATGAGCTCGAATGAATCTCCGGTAAGGGTGCTCATTGAGTAAGTGATATCATGCATTAATCTTCTATATTTGTATGCCACATAATCATTATGTTAACGATCGTAAAAAAATGCCACATGTGCATGCACCGTAAAATTCTCTATAATTTTATACTCTCAAAAGTAATACAAATACGGGTGATTGTCATTGCACAAATAAAACAATTTCATCTACCGTAGAAATCCAAAGATGCAAAGAAAACTTCATCAATTAGATCATCACGCCACTCTGTCTGTTATTACAAATAAAAACAAAATGCTAGCAATTTTTTTTATAAATTATTCCACTTTGTTAAATTTCCCCATTGAGTGTAATACCAAATCATATAATAATACAAAACCCTCTGCTGCAAATCTTCAAATCCTATTTCTTGATTTGCATGTTTTGATCTCATTTTCTTCTTGACACCGTTTTTTAATGGTGTTTTCAATCTCTCTGGGTATATAAAGTCGGCTCATTTGCAGCAGAAATCAATTAATCACGAGATTTGTTTGATTTTAAAGAATAGTTTTTCGCGATCTTTGAAGATTTTGACTGTATCTTAAAGGGTCTCTGTTTTCTTTTTCTGATTCTTCTCTCCCAATCAGGGGACTTGGTTAAAGATCTCAAGAGTTCCCCATGGAGTACGCAGTTGTTTGACGCTCTCTACAGTCCTAATTCCACCCTTCTTTCATCGTCTTCTTCTCTTTCTTTTATCTTTGCTTCATTTTCCGAGAAAATGTTGAATCTGACGGAAAATCCAAAGCTGGTGAGTATAATCTCTCTGGTTTTCTTCAAATATTTCATTTTTTTTCATCTCCTTTTCCTTGTTACTGTTTAATTGATTTTCATCACCAATATCAAGTATCTTAATTTAAATTTGGGGTTCTTGATTTGGTGATAGGACTCGTCATCTTCCAACGAGATATCCATACAAAATATATCAGTTTCGGATCATAATAATGGCTTTCAATACACAACGGATAATAAAACCGATAGCTTTGTTCTCGACTTGGAAGGTTTCTCTCATGGAGGATCCAATAAAGAAATCACTCAGAATTCAAGATTTACAGTGAGTTTTCCCCCTTTTTTTCATTATTTTTTGTGGGAAAAATTCAAAACAATTATTTCTGAATGACACGTGTTTACATCTCAATGAGACTGTTTCATGCAAGTCCAGAAAATTTCTTTTTTTTTCCCTTCTAATTTGCAGAAAAGTCTTTCTCGTAAAGGGTCTCAGAGAGGAGGGGACAAGAAGATTATAAGCTTCAATTGTACAAATTCAAATTGTAAATCGTCTCTCAATGATAAAGATGCTTTTGTTGCCACCTCCCCGAGAGGTACAGACTTTCAGCATTAATTGCTTAGATTTTTCACATGCTGGTTTTTTAATTTTTCCCAGGAAATTTCCAGGAAAATTTGAAAAAGGCGAACATTTTGGCTCTATTTTTACCCAGATTAGTGGTTTAGACCATGCACTTTTCAGCATTTTATAGTTAAATTCCTTGAAGGACTTGAATTTAACTCGTGAATTATGTAGAACAGTTCTTTAGTAGTATTTAGCTATGTTATTCGGACTCCAGTATGTGCCAGATATCGGTATACTCGAATATGCTCATCTTCGAAGATGTGTCTAAAAGGTATACTGAAAGCAAACTCGGAGAGATTTTACCATAGAAATATGTCCTGTTACCCTTGGATGCATGTTCTCATGTTTTATGGCAAATTTCCTGTTTGCATAGTTTATTTTGTAAGATTTGGCCTGGAATTATTGATCCGCAACTTCTCTGGTAGGGTCTAGCACTGCTGAAAAGCCGGTGACGGCCGCTGTAGGGTCAACTGATATGGCCAACAATCCGCAAGCTCGTCATCAGATCACCATTACAACTGGCAATCACCGCTCTAACCGAGAGCAGATTTAATCTCAGAGAAACAATTCCCGACGACATGCTTCCCAATGGATTTTCGATCCCAAAAGGCTTCTGTTTCTCTTTGCCACACTGTAAGTCTCCGAACCCTATCACAGGAATATTTCTATTCCATCTGCAAAGGCTTTGATGATACTGAAAGGAAGAACCTTTTCGGGTTCTTTTGACAGATCGAGCATAGGAACGATTTTGCTGATATATTTCACATTGTCGATTTACAAAACGAACGGAGATGGGATGCTTTCGATTAGGACATAGCCGGGGACTATACTCACCAACTTACTGGTAACTAAGAGCAACATTGCAACATGACATACACATGGGAGATCAGACCGGAAAACCGATGGGAGTGGTTGAGAAGAGAAGGTTGAAGAAAGAAACAAAAGGGAAAGATTATATGAATCTTCCATTAAAGATAGCTTCATGTGTAGAGAGTTATAAAAAAATCAAACTTTGGAGATGATGACAAGTACATAAATCCACTGTGATAAAGATGCGGAATCTTTCCTTTTAATATGAATGTATGCATGTATGTAAGAGATGGAAAACGATGATTGTTGAGCTTTTTGTGTTTTATGTTTGTCATAAGGATGAAATGGAGGGTTCAAAAAGTCGGCTTTTTAATGGATGAACAACTTTATAATTGAAGACTTTGTTATGGGTGTGAATTTAAAATTTTAACTATCGTGGTGATTGATGAGTAGATAATGGATATGAAAATATTAAATGAGTATGAGAATGGGAAAGGTATATCCGCACCAGTCCCGCAAGACAAAATTATAAAGTGAGCTTATGAAAAAGATTTGCTTCTGGTAGAAAGTGAATAACGGCAGTGAAGGATAGATTTCAAGAAAAATATCTAAGCTCGGGTTCTTCTGCAGATTAAATTATGTCATGTAAATTGAAGGTTAAAAAACTACCAATGTCTCCTTTACAAACCGGGTGCAAAATTTGATTCAACTAAAAAAAATTATACTTTTAACTTTAAATTGTTTGAGTTAACTCAAATTTTTAGTTCATATTTCAATTTTGAATTGAGTTTGAATTTTGACTATAACTTTTTTATATTTTTTCTTGGCATAATCTCAAGAGATATTACTAACGTTTGACTAAATATTTTAGTTCATATTTGTTTTTAGTATTTCAGTCTCATATAGGACTGTAAATGAGATGAGACAGATCCTGAGCTACTCGAGATCGACTCGATCAAGGCTCGATAAATACTCAGATCGAATGGACTCGACTCGAGCTCGAGCTCAACTCGAGTTCTTAACGAGCCGAACGAGCTACTTAATATTCGATTCGAAAAGCTCGTGAGCAGCTCGAAATATAATATATTAAGATTTTATTTTTAAAAAAATAAAATATTAATAATATTAACATTTATTTATTGATTTTTAAAAAATACAGTAAGATTTTCATGTATTTAAGGTTCAAATTTGAGTTGAGACTTCAATAGAGTTAAATTTAAGATTTTTTTTTTCATTTAGAGCCTTTTCAAGCCGCTCACGAAATTCAGTTCATGATTTCGAGTTCGAGTCGAGCTTGAAAATTTTAAACTCGCGAGTTTTCAAATCGAGTCGAGCTCCATTTCAAAGTTTTCGAGTCGAGCCGAGATTAGCAATACTTGAACTCGGCTCGCTCGTTTACACCCCTAGTCTCATGTTTCATTTTGAGGCAAGAAGGCACGTACGTTGACAGAAATTATTAGTTAACAAACAGTTAACACTCTAAAATAGAGACTTTTATACCCAAAACAAAAACATTAAGGGCTAAAATGCTCTAGAAAAAATAATAAAGGCTAAAGTGACTATTAGATCAAACGTTAGAGACTATTTTATCCTAAAATAAGACGTTGGAGACTATTTTATCCTAAAATAAGACGTTAGAGCCAAAATACTCTAGAAAAAGTGACCAAAATGACAATTTTAGTAAAGTCGTGATACTAATTTTAATAATATACAATTTTCTCTTCCATCAATTCTGTTTTTTGAATTGAAAATGAAACTAAACACCAGTTTAAACCTGAGCTACCGATCTCGGATGAGCAGGAGCAGCGTCCCGAGCAAAGAGGTCACGAATTTCTTCTTGGGAGCGGCAAACTGAACAAAGTCCAAGTGATCCATTCTTTAAAACATAACATTATAAAAACAATATTATTGTAGACACTCATTTTTTCCGTGTTTTAATTATTATTACTATTAATATTATTATTTTATTAATAGTATTATTACTACATTTTACACGTCCAAATGACAATTGGGTCAAGACTCAATTAAAAGGCCCGAACTCTAATCCAAATTACAACAGACCAACTTGGCCCAAAGATCCGACCCAAATATGAGACCCAAAACCTGATTAGGGTTTTCATCTCAAGTTCCAACGCCTCCAGCTCTCCACCATTGGATTTGATGACTATCACAGTTCATATCGATGACATTTAGGGTTTCTAAACCCTAACCCTAAGGAGCTATTGTTGCCGCCACTGTTGTGTGCTGACGCCGCTGCCCGCTTCTGACACCTCCATCATTCTACACTGACCGAAATCAACATAAATAATCCATCAACAGTCAAAAAGAGAGGCCAAATCAAAATAATAGAAACAATAAAAAATAAATGAAATCCCGAGGAAATTGGGGGCTCTGTCGCAAGCAAAGATAGGGCATTCATACCCTATTCTCTCGAAAAACAACAAGCCATCACAAAAATCAACGAGGGGAGTAGATAAAAAGGAGGAAAACTAGATTCGGGACTGAAACGAAGGAAAAAACTTCGAACATTCAAGAAAAAAAGAAGAGAAAAAAAATAGAAGAAAGAGAGTTTGAATAAAAAACAGAAACAAAAGAGAGAAGAGAACTTACCTGGCACAATTTCATCGGAAGAAAGGTTGTCGAACTTTAAGTTTTGAAAGGTAAAAGCTTAGATCTAGGATTTTATGTTATTTTTTAGGCAAAAGGGGGTTAGGATCTATGGTATTGAGAACGAGATGGGTATTTCGGAGGGTTTTATTCCCTTCGACCGTCGTGGGCGGCCGTGATTTACCGTCGGTCAGCGGTAGTTTCCTTTTCCTAACGAGGAAGTTGAGAGAGTTTGTAAACTTCTCTTTCCTCTTCCAAGTGAAAGGAAACAAATGAAGAGATTATGCGGGAAGCCCTAAATTCGACTTATATACACTGATTGAAAAGAAGTAGTTTCACCCATTCCCGTGTTTTCATAAGTTTAGGGGAAAATAACGTGTTTGGTTCCCATTCTTTGTAATCTCACCATTTGGGCCATTGAATGAAGTATTGTGTTATTTTGTTTTGAGCACTTATATTTCTATATTTGTATTTTAGTCATCGTCTTATATGTATGTCATTTTATTAATGTTTAACTCTGGTCATGATATTTGTAAATGTTTAATTTCAGTCATTGTTTTGTATATTGAATGCATTTAGGTATAATTATTATTTTCCCTTCCATGTTTCTGGTTTATTTTATTTAGTCCTTAACATTATTTATGGATTATTTCGTTTATGGTATCTATAGTGTTCTAAATGTTCGATTGTGGCTCTGGTTTGTTTATAATTATTTTTCATTCCTTTAAGTTTCTATTAGTACCATTTTGATCCCTTAAATCACCAAATATGATTGTTTTTGTTATTTGTATTTTGATAAGTAATGTTTTCTTGTTTGTATTCTAGTCCTTTGTCTGTACATCTTTTGTATATTATATTATGTATTATATTAAATATTTATTAGCTCTATGTGTTGTAGACATTTTATTCCACATATTTCAAATTGCATTTGTTTTCATCGTATTTCTTTATCTATTGATATGTTATTCTAATATTTTCAAGAATACTTATTTGTAGAATGTGCGTGGAAAGCATAACTTAGTCGAGTAGTCCGATCCGATACGACAATCGAACGAAATGTGAACTTGAAAGAATTTGAATTTATTTTTATAAAAAATGATAATCAATTCATTTTTATTAAAATGACGCAATGCATATTTTTTATATATAATTTATGTTATGTAAAATGCAGATATTCAATTTTATATTTATTTTCGTTTTTTAAATCGAGAAGGAAATATTCTTTTTAGGCAAGAATGGAAGAGATAACCTTCCAGTCCAAGGATGAGCAAATCTTAATATTTCTTTTCGAATTAAAGGATTTTCCCTAATAAACAATTCGAAGCAAATTAATTAAACTTTAATAAATGGATCACATTCTAACTATATATTTGATTCACAATTTCCATCATTTACGACAATGTGTAATCGATTAAGTATCAATTTTTGGGAGTTGTGAGGGTGATTATCATTCCCCATGCGTAATCGACTCCCGGACCCGTTAAGTCAAATTTTTTGGTAAATGCAAACCAATTTTTGTCTTAAAATGATTTTTCTTAAAATATTTTAAAGGACGTTTTTAGGTATTCGGTCTACCCTAATTTAAAGGTCGATGGCGACTCCTATTCAATTTAATTCAAATTATTCAAAATCACCAATTTTTCAAATAAAGTCATAATTATTTTTTAAACTTAATTGTTTTAAAAAAATGGTCATGAAATTATAACATTATAAAGTTACAAATCTTACTGATATTTGCAAAAATGATATATATATATATACACACACGCATTGATATATATTTGGAAGAAGTCCTTTAATTAGAATAAATCAATATTATAAATAAATATATGCATTGATATATATTCGGCCTTGCAAAGAAAAGCTACCCATGGCTCATTGACCGCACAAACTTTCCAGGGCATTCGACTTGTGAGGCAGAGAGAAGATAGGTTTACGATTGAGGAGTAGATTATTGAATAAGGAAACCAACCGGAAGCATCCGAATGGGGAGGATGAGAGACCGGAACATCACCATCATCACTAGACTAGTTCCACGAACCTGGATGGACTCTTCATTAGTTTCATTGCAACCAGAGGGTTGATCTTCATCACTTTACATCACTCTCATTCTTCATTTTATAAATGTAAGGTAATTTAAAGGAGACTTCTTTTTGAGAAAATAGCCACCTTTCTTACCAAGTCACCTCAATTTGTTCCCCACTATCCTATAAATTATCCCTCTACCTCGAACATGGCCGATTACAACATCCAAAAAGAGTCAACTCTCCAACTCGATCGTCCTGTTTATGAAGATCTTCTTGAAACACTTTCCACTGGTAAAACCATAGCCTTGGATGTCGAAAGCTCCGACACCATCAACAACGTCAAGGTGAAGATCCAAGATATGCAAAGCCTTATTTTCGCCGGCAAGCAATTCGATGATGGTTGTTCGACTTTGGCCGATTATAACATCCAGCAGAGTCCATACTTGGTTCAGATTTCATGTTTCCTCGTCGGATGCCCATTTTTTCAAGACATTAACGGGGAACATGATCAAATTGGAGGTGGAGAGTGTAGTTTTTTGGCAAAAGTCCCACATTGGTTGTGTATAAGGAGGAGGGGAAATTCTTTTGTTATAAATAAAGCCCTCCTCCTCCTTAGTTTCATCCCACAAATATAAGCCTTCTTCTATTTTAAAGGCTATTTGTATTCTTTCTCTCTTTGTAATATTTCCTCTATTAGTGAAATATTTTGGTGTTCCCTTTTATGTCTATTTAATAGTTATTGTCGGGTATAGTTTTGTTAATTATTGTCCTATTAAATTACTTGTCTTGGTAGTTCTGTCTAACGAAAGTGGGTTTTAAGAGGGACCATTGTGACCCCTCCTCTTTCCTGGGAATCTACCTTGGGGTGATTTTTAGTACAATCGTTTTCAACACTAGTCATCTAGATAATAGTTTTCAAGGAATTGTTATTGGTGGAAATTAACCCAAATTTCACAACAATTGGTATCAGCGCTCTTGGTTTATTTTAGTATGCTCTGTGGTTGCGGCTTAGGCTGATCTTCCACATTAGAAAAATTTCCTTGGGTAATTGACATTCCGCATTGGCAGCTATTAAATAGAATTGTAGCAGAAATGACAGACGCTTCTTCATCTTCAATTTTGGCAAGAAATGATGTGACAAATGTTAGATTTGCAGTGGAGATTTTTGATGGCACCGTCATTTCGGCATGTGGCAAAGCGAGGTTCTAGATGCCCTATTTCAGCAGGGTCTAGACATTGCTATTGAATGAGAAAACCAGATGATGTTGAGGAGAAAGAATGGAAGAGGATCAATAGAATGGCATGTGGTACTATTCGATCGTGTCTTTCTAGAGAGCAGAAGTATGCATTTTCTAAGGAAACTTCTACAAGTAAATTATGGAAGGCACTGGGAGGAGAAATTTTTGAAGAAAGCGGTCAGAACAAACTCTACATGAAAAGAGATTGTTCCGCTTCAACTATGTACCAGGTACCACTATGAATGATCACATTACTAGCTTTAATCAGCTGGTGATTGATCTGATGAATATGGACGTGACTTTGAAGATGAAGATCTGGCTCTGATGTTGATGGGATCACTTCCTGATGAGTTTGAGTATCTTGAAACTACTCTACTTTATGGGAAGGTTGATGTGTCTCTCAGTGAAGTAACTGATGCCTTGTATAGTTATGAATTAGAAAGAAAGACAATCAAGAAACACAAGTGTCGAGCAGAAGCTCTTGTTGTTAGAGGCCGTTCCAAGAGTCAGAATAAAGGAAGCAGAGGGATCGAAGTCAAAGTCCAGATTGAGCAAAGATGAATGTGCCTTTTGTCGAGAAAAAGGGCACTGGAGAAGAAGAATGTCCCAGGCTAAAGAATAAAGGCAAACCTGAAAGGGGGAAGGCTGTCTCAGAATCAAATGTGGTCGAGTATGATGATGGAGATTCAGATTTCGCATTCGCTGCTACGCCATCAACCACTGTTCCAGTTCATGGCTGTTAGATTCAGCTTGTAGCCACCATATGACCCCCAATAGAGAATGGTTCTTTGATTTTAAAGAACTAAAAGGTGGAATTGTCTACACAGCAAATAATTCCCCTCTTGACACACTTGGGATTGGTTCAATTCGCTTGAGGAATCAGGATGAATCAATCAGAACCTTAATAGGTCCATTATGTACCAGATTTAATGAGAAATCTCATCTCTGTGGAACCTTAGAGTCAAAAGGTTTAGAAGTGAGGGAAAAAGATGGGATTATGAGGATTATCTCTGGTGCACTGGTGATAATGAAGGGAATCCGAAAAAGAAACAATGTGAATTACTTTCTGGTAGTACATTGTTGGACAGCAACAGTGGCAGCTTCTACTGATGAACATGAGTCAGAAGCAACCAGGTTATGGCATATGCGCTTTGGGGCATGTTGGTGAAAATCCTTGAAAATTACTGATAGATCAAGGATTATTGAAGGGTGTTCGGGCTTGCAAATTAGCTTTTTGTGAGCATTGCATCAAAGGAAAAGACGAGGGTGAAATTTGGAACAACAATCTATGATACTAAGGTATTTTGGATTATGTTCATTCAGAGTATGGGGGCCTTCCAAGACAACTTCATTGGGAGGAACACATTATTATGTCACCTTTGTTGATGATTTTCCCGGAGAGTTTGGGTGTATCCAATGAAGACAAAGGATGAGGTGCTAGGATTTTTCCTTAAATGGAAAAGATGATGGAGACTCAAACAGGCAGAAAAATCAAACGTCTCCGTACAGACATGGTGGAGAGTACAAAAATGATCCATTTCTGAAAGTCTGTGAAGAGGAAGGTATTGTTAGGCACTTCACGTCAGAGGTACACCACACATAATGGGTGGCAGAGCGTATGAACCGGACATTAGTGGAGAAGGTTCGGTGTATGTTCTAATGCTGTTAGGCAAAGAATTTTGGGCTGAGGCTTTGGTCTATGCTTGTCACCTTGTCAACCGCTTACCATCGACTGCTATTGGTGGTAAAAACCCATTAGAGAAATGGTTTGGGGTACCTGCTACATATTATGATTCCTTACATGTGTTTGGTTCCACTGCATACTACCATGTTAAGGAGTCAAAGCTGGATCCAAGAGTAAAGAAGGCGATCTTTATGGGGATCACCTCTGGTGTGAAAGGCTATCGTCTTTGTGTCCAGAAACAAAGAAAATAATCTTCAGCAGGGATGTTACATTTGATGAATCTACCATGTTGAGAAAGGTGACTTCAGAAAAATTGGAGCAGACAGATGGAACTCCCAAACAGGTGGAGTTTGAAGGAAGCAAATTTGTCCCAACCGGTAAAGAAACTGATGTTGACTCTCCTATGGTAGAAGAAGAGTCAGATGAAGAAGAGGTTCAGACCTAAGAACCTCCACAGTAACATGATCAATTGCACTCAGAAAGGGAAAGAGGACCATTAGACAACCTGCTCGTTATGCTGATATGGTCTCTTTTGCATCACCAATTGCAATTGATGACGTTACTGCCACTTTTAATGAAGCAGTTCAAAGTTCAGAACATAAAAAGTGGAGATCGCCATGAATGAAGAAATGCAATCCCTTCAAAAGAATCAGACGTGGAAACTAGCTAGTCTTCCGAAGGGAAAGAAGGCAATTGGGTGCAAGTGGGTATATGCAAAGAAAGATGGATTTCCTGACAAAATAACATCCGCTACAAAGCAAGATTGGTGGCTAAAGGCTACGCTCAAACGGAGGGAGTTGATTATAATGAAGTATTTTCTCCAGTTGTAAACATTCCTCCATCAGAATTTTGTTGGCTTTGGTAGCAGTTGGATTTGGAACTAGTTCAGATGGATGTAAAAACTGCATTTTTACATGGAGACTTGGATGAGGAAATCTACATGACTCAGCCAGATGGATTCAAAGTTGCTGAAAAGAAGAGATGGTGTGGCAAATTAGAAAAATCGCTGTACGATTGAAGCAATCTCCAAGGCAGTGGTACAAGCGATTTGACAAGTTTATGATAGGGCAGAAGTACACAAGAAGCAAATATGATCATTGTGTGTATTTACGTGAGCTAGAAGACAGATCCTATATATATCTTCTTCTTTATGTTGATGATATGCTGATAGCTTCCAGGAGTCAGACAGAAATTACGAAACTAAGACTCAATTGAACAGGGAGTTTGAGATGAAGGATCTTGGTGAAGCGAAGAAGATTCTAGGCATGGAGATATCA